CTCTCTCCCTCCCTCTCTCTCCCTCTCTCCCTCTCTCCCTCCCTCCCTCATTGGTCCCAGTCCTACATTGCAATGTTCATCAACACTTCTTAGGTGAGCCAAAGAGCAAGTGTTTTCATGAATTTTTCAAAAAGATTCCACCATCTTTCTTTTTTTTTCTCTCTCTGTCTTTCTGCTGATATGTTGTATCCACTCAGCTAAGGCTCGCCCTGTGGCCCAACTCTTAAATGACCTAAATTATATTGATTATGGTGTAAAATGTTAACAAATCCTCATCAAAATCAGCGATCTCCAGTAGGGTGTACACTTATTCAGCTACTTGGGTCTGCATGGTGATTTTGGGTAGATCATGATGTGCTCTCTGGTGCAGTTTGTCTGCTATAGCTGTAATATACTAATCATAGGCTTGAATATAGTATCCTAGTCTGGGCACTGCCGTGGTGGCCATTCTTTATTCTCTATAAAAATCTAGCTGCACTGTTTATTCTCTATAAAAATCTAGCTGCACTGTTTATTCTCTATAAAAATCTAGCTGTGCTGGTCCGCACCATTGATGGGCAAATGAAGTTTAAAAACGCTAGATCTAGTCTTGCTATAGTCAAGTGTGTGCGCATCTTTTCCCAACTTGTCCTTCATTTTCATTCTAAATAGAGTCAAATGGCATACTTCATAGTGAAGCGGACTTCTCTCAGGATACAGAGTCTTTCATTGTAATGCAAGTCTATGATATCAATAGACATCAGGTGATCTGTGTGCTATCTTGCACTAACTCAAAGTCCTGACTTTTAAGAATTTTTGTCACAACAGCTGTCAAGGCTGTCAGAAAATCTTCCATTTAAGCCCAAAATTGTATGGTTTATGCTCGTGTTCCAAAGAGTTCCAGTTGTATCTAGTACAAAATCTTGTTTTCATGATTAGAATTCAGTGGCTTTTAAAGTGATTTTCATTTTTTTTTAAATTCTCTCCTTGTGTGGAATTTATTCCTCTGGAGTGTTGCCTCCCTGCTTAGACTGTGAGAAATAAATTTGATTGATTTTTATTTCATCATCTGACATTATCCAAAACTTATTTCAAGTCGGGAAAATTTCGGGAGGGTGGTCTCTGCTTTTACACAGATCCTGCAAAAATTGGAAATCTTTGTTGCATAAGTGTACACCCTACTTTATTTGCTTCCCACGAAGCGATAGCTTGTCCTGTGAACTTTGATCCCTTGACTCCCCCCTCATTTAGGGATATTTGTCTACTGTGCAGGGAGCCTTCAAAGGTCTGTCCAAGTTTGGAGAAGCTATGGTGAGCAGTGTGACTGGAACCAAGCCTGCCCCTCCACCCAGGAGACCTGAACCCTCCCCTCCCTTGGAGAATGGGCACCGTCCGGGTATTGTGTCTGTGGTGGATCTCAAATCTGTGAGGGGTGATCAGGTTGGCTGTGATGAATGTTGTCCTGAGATAAATGATCATATTTATGTTGGACGTTCTTCTCTTTCTTCAGACTCATGTTAACTTTTTACAAGCTGCTCTATTGCTTCTACCAGTGTTTGTGATGTCGTTGTTAAATTCCTGACCTAGCTTACAGAAGATATGAGTTCAATTCCTGAATGGGATAAATATTTTAAAGAGTACTTTTGTATTTCTGTTTGTGGTAATTAGATAGGTGGACGTTGTGGACAGTATCATTATAATATTTTTTTTAACTCAAGGTGGAAAGTGGTTGGTTGTACAGGTGATTGTCTTGGACAGGAGGCCTTTAGAGTAGGTTTGACTGTATTTTGACAAATCTCCTGTTTTTTAGTCCACTCTTCATCTGACCCTTGTTGCACCTTTTTTTGTTGATGGTTAGCCGGTAATCAGGTGTGGTTTGCTCCTGCTCTATCAAACATCTATCATTTTTTTCTCTCTTCCTTCTTTCTTTTGTATGTTACCATAGCTGCCACTTTCCCGCTAAATAGCGCGCGGAAACTCCACTTCATCTAACTTTTCCCGCTACTTTCCTCCTTCCTCCGCTGGACCGCTCTCGGTCGCAAATTGCGATACTTTTTATTTTACATGCGGAAAACGCCAAACCGTGAGAGAGATGAAAACGGGGCTTGCGCATGTCCGCCCGTAGCTTTCTACTTCCGTTCTTCAAGGCCTAGCACTAGTTTCACATTGTTTATTGTTGTGGAGCAACACAGTGTCGATCGGGCATCGGGATGTTGGCGCGCCGAGTTGTCTTTGAAAACGGCGGAAATTCGAGGGAAATTGATGCAGAATGCAAAAATAAAAGGAGCTGGAATGAGAAAGAAGCAGCCAGTGTGTGACTTGAAAAGTTAATTATTCATTAGAAAGTTGAACAAGCCGCTTGCTGCACTTTGCGTTTGATGCAATTGCGGTCACGTTTGTTTACATGACGGCTATTGTGGCTGTGGAAGTGAATCTAGATCTAGATAATCTATCTCTAGATATAGTCTAGATTTACACATATTTAGATTCTAGATCTAGATTAGATAGCCTAGGCTATAATTTTAATTCAGTTTAGATCTACACACTACAGGGGCACTACTAGATCTAAGTTAAGTGCAAACGGGACCGCAATTGTACAGGAGTGCCGAAATCGCTCAGTACAGCGGCAAAGGTGTTGCCTCCTTGATCCAATGCTGCTCTACATCGATGTACAAGTTTAAAGTAAAAGAAATCTTTTTATGAGACACCAGCTGGCAACAAACACTGGATTTTTAGTCACCAAGTCCAAACTGTGTCAAATTGACTCAAATGCTTGTTAGTCAACTTAGTGCCCTTGTGGGGGGTTTTTTGGGGGGTTTTTTCAAATACATTTTAATTCTGTTGCCTATGGTTAACTAATATGACAGTTTTCCCTTCCAAAACCATGGGCTAGATTTTCCAGTATATTATTGTATTGCCTCTGGATCTCACTGGCTTTACTCCGGCTTTCGGAGAGCGCGCGTCCGCCTTCGCGTGAATTTCCTCCTTTTTTAAAATTCCTGAGTGGCAGCTATGGTTACTCTCTAGTAACACCTCTAATCTTCAACACTTATATGACCTGTTTGTGTTGAAAGTACTGTAGCACTCTTGAGAAAACCCCAATGAAGTTTGTTTGCCCTCAGTTCCACGTGCCCGACGACCCTGACATTGAAGGACTTATTGCCCATTTCCACGCCCATGCTAATGAGCCAGTGGCTGCCATGGCCTTTGACCAGAGCGGGATTCTGCTGGTCACTGCCTGCAAGCTGGGTATGTCTTGTGGTCATGCATTTACCTGTCTCTCACTGTATGCAAACTGGTTGGTGGGGGCTCTGGTGCAGTCTGCTCCTTCTTTCCTATCAAGCGTCCCAAATCTCTCCTCTTTTTTTGTGTTTGTTACTATAATAATTGCATTTTTTGCATTTCGCATTTATAATTGCATTACTCTCTTATAACACCTCTAATCTTTGACATTTTTATAACCTTATTGAGTTGAGTTCAGATGATGTAAAACTTTTACTTAAACTTTAAAAAGTGAGTATGTCATGCAGTTGTGCGTTTCTGTCTCTCATTTAATGAAACTAGTTCTGTCAAGTACCTGTACGTCTCTCTGGCTTGCCAACTGTCCTGAATTCTCTGGGACTGTTCCAGATTCGGCAATCAGGGGAATTTGACAGGATATTTGCTATTGGCCTTTGACATGAAAGCCAGTTCCACTTGATGTAATTGGGTTTTGAAAAAGTAGGCACACTTTCTGTGTCACTGTATATAAACTGGGTACGTGATGTGTGGTTATGCTTCTCCTTCAAAAAGAGCCAAAGAAACAAAATTTGGGAACAAGTTTTGCATTTTTGTTTCCTTGAAAAAAGTGGAGAAAAGAAGATGTGTGTATGTGTGCTTTATTTAGAGAGAGAGAGAGAGAGAGAGAGAAAATTTTGGTGGTAAATAAAGGGAGGTAATCATCGAGAAATGTAGCTTTAATTTATTTATTTACTGATTATGTCCCTTGCTCGACATCCTTCGGGATAAACTCTCCAGTTAATCTCTGAATTCAAACATGCTTCTAGCACCAATAAACTTTCTGATTCGTAAAGTCATTGTTAATTCCACTACGGGCGGGTGGAGGGTGCCACTGTGTCTCCTTTTTTATGTTTGTTACTCTCTTGTGACACCTCTAATCTTCGGCACTTTTATGACCTTATTGTGTTGTAAGTGCCGTAAAACTCTTACTTAAACTAAAACATTTTTCTTAAATATGTTTCTGATATGTGTCATTTATAATTTATGCTGTTTCACGGAAGTCCCTTTTGTAAAATCTCTATGGTTTTACTGGCCTATCACTCGGAATAGAATTCACTTAAACCTGACAAGACGGCCACCTGTAGAAATGGCTGACTTTCCATTTCCTCCTTTGCTTTTATTCTATATAATAACACTGCATAAAACGATAACCTGTCCAATGCAGCCGAGACCACTTTATTTAATCAACCAACAGATCAAAAATCCTATGTGAGATAGCCATGCAAATCTGTCTCATGACTGGTTGCATAGACTATGTTATGTTGGCTCCTGACGCTGTGGATGAACCGTCACATGATAAACCATTCATCTAAGGTTATTGTTAATCCCTCCAATGAATGAACCAATCGTCATGTTTACCCAAGTTGACGATTCGGTTTACAAATTTTCGACTGGTGATGAGGCAGGCATGTGAGCCTGCCATTATCCAGTAGCCGTGCCCACAAATCATTTTATTGGGCCTTACAGCTGTCCAAAGCCTACGACCGCCTCGGGTTGGGACCTGAGAGGGGAATGGTTTGCTTTCTTCATTTTGATCCATCCTGAGTAAGTCAGACTGCCGCCTGCCTTGAGCGGCCACTTCTCTCCCCAACAATGCGTGGCCTTTAGACAGGTTCGACTGTACCTACCTAGCCAATGACAAATGCCCTCCTTCCTCCTTACTTTTTGTCCAGGGCTACGGATTATGTCAGTGGGTGGTTGGCGGGTGCTGTAGTGTGGTTTGCTCCTTCTTTCCTATCAAACACCTATCGTCTTTATCTCTCCTCCCTCTTTTTTGTGTACCTTACTCTCTTGTAGTACATCTATTCTTCGGCACTTATAGGATCTTATTCTGTTGCAAGTGCCGTAAAACTCTTACTAAAACTAAAATGAAGATCATGTCACCATGCTTGTATTATAGATTTAACATAAGACAAACAGACACGTTACTGAACCCTGCTTTCTGTTGGTTGTCCATGGCAACAGGTCACAACTTCCACGTGTTCAGCCTGGTGGCTCACCCGTGCTCCTCCTCCCTGGGCGCTGTCCACCATCTCTACACGCTGCACCGCGGGGACACCACTGCCAAGGTCTAGGCCATAGTTTGCTTTACATGATCTTTTCTTCTGTCTGTCTGTGTG